GAACCTTTCCATCTATTCTCTGCCAGATAGGTATCATGATAATTAACTAAAACTGGACAGTGTTCCCCATGGGCTAAACCCTAAACCAGTAGTACTAAAATTACAGAAACTAGACAACTCTGGAAAACCTTGTTACTTTACAACACCAGGTCCCCTACCACCAGATTGTTCTGATAATTTTAGGAATGTTAGGGGATGCTATTAGCATATTTCCAAACACTTCATTAAGTAATTAGACTCAATACATGATGTGATTAACATGAGATAATTACCACGCTGGGACAGTTCGTAAGCATGAGACTGTTTTTCATGACTCTAAAAAGCAACTCATATATTTTATTCATGTTTTAGCTTTTCTAAAATATATTTATAAATTGATTATGAATCAATCATAGCTTTCTATATAACTTTAATTTGAAGCTGCTTTAAAAGGTGTGCTGACTACTTTACAAAGATGAATCTGCATATTTTAAACAACAGAGTGCAGAAAATATTAGAAAGTAGACAGATATTTTTCAATGATGGATCCATAAATATCTTCATGTTATATAATTTAGTAACACTGGACATGCTTTCTTTTCTTTTTTTTTAATGTACCAGTGCACATTTGGACAGTCCATAGGTCCCATAGGGCACTTGGCTGACACCTAAGTAGAATCCTTTCCTCCCCAGTTGATTCAATATCTTTCCACTACTGTGCTGAGAAAGTCAAAACTGATGTATTCTCAACTGTTCTCAGTGATAACAGTTCCATGCACTCACCATCATTCAACTGACTGCCAGTAGAAGCATCTGAAGAGTGAACCAATGGTTCTTGCTTCAGCATCAAGGGCAAATCATGTGATGTGATTGCTCTTCAGTTTCTGTGTGCCACAGCTGTTTTTCCAGCCAATCACCTCTGAGGCACTCCAAAGGTATACACTGGGAATTATACAGATAAGTGGAGGCAACAGTGGGAGTCTGGATCCAGGAGCAACTAGTAAAAACAAGGACCTCCAAGTAGAAATATTCCTGCATTCATCATATTTTGAAATGGTATATTAATAGACAGGCAGCTTCATGGTACTGTATTTTCATTTAAAATAGTCATTCCAGCTTGGTGCCTTCCATATGAGCTGGAAGTACAAATTCATGAAATTCCCAGAATTTCACACCAGCATGGGCATTGGCTGTCCTAACTAGAAATTCTGGGAATTATAATCCTACACATTTGGAGAGCACTAGATTGGAAAAATCTTTAAATATTCAGTAGGCAATTTTATAGTACTTTAGATGACTTTTGAAAAAAAAATGTAGAATTTCTTAATCCAATATTTCAGTAGTGCATATTATTGTGCATTGAATACATTAAACATTTGATAACAGACCTGACACAACCAAAGGTCTGATCTTATTTTGGATTTCTTCTACAAATGAATTAATCTTGATCCCCCACCAGAAAAATAGTTATTTACAGACTAACAACATTACCACTGCAAATTAGTAACTACTGTATTAATCCAACTGCAAGTTATAATTCAATATCATCTTGCTATTTTCTTTCTCAAAAATTATAAATAATTTGCTATACTGAAAGGGATTTAATGCAACCTATAAATGAGAAATTTTAAGGATAATATTGAAACTCCTTAAGGAATTTCATTTTTTGTTCATAGTTCATTTCCAGCCATTTTCTAGTCTTATCTTCTAAAGCAGGGGTTGGCAACCTAAAGCCTGCAGGCCATATGCAGCCCACCACCTGAAGTCATTTGGCCTATAGTCCCAAAAAGAAATATGATGTTCACCCAACCCTCAGTGGTCCATGCCTTAGGTCACTGAGGTCTTTTCCTCCCCTCTCCAGACTCTGCAGAGCATACCCTAGTTTTCCTTAAGAAAGAAATGCATCACTATGGTTCACCCCAAAGAGTCCTCTCAAGTGCCAGTATATTCTCAAGTGCTCAAGAGAGAGGGAAAAAGCAGCTAAACATCCATTCACAGATAGGGCCTCTGGCCCTTACACAGAAGAAGGTTGCCAACCCCGTTCTAAAGAAACAGAAAATATGTGTCATCTTCTCTATGATAACCATTCAGACTTTGGAATAGTTTCTTTCTTCCCCACCCCACGTGGAACATCCCAAGTCATTCACAGTCATAAATAATAAAGTTATTTTCCACACAACATAAGACTCCCATCTAAATCTAGTAGCTTGATCTTGATCAACCACGGCCATAGTACTGCAGCTTCAGTTACCTGGAAACCAAACTTTAGCTTACTGCATTTGTATCCTTACAGCCTAATCTGAATCATGTTTACTCAGCATACGTTTCATTGGCACTTATGTACTTTTAAGGAACGAAATCTTAGAGACTATTCAGTTAAAACTAAGAGTCTGTGTTGTTATAGGTGGCTGTGATTCAAGCAGAAGTATCTCGAAGGCAGAAAGAATGTGAAGATGATTTGATGAAAGCTGAACCTGCTCTGGTAGCTGCTACTGCAGCTTTAAATACCCTTAATAAGGTAAAGATCAAAGCATTGTATGGTTATCTTTGCGTGTTGGCTACCTTTTTTTTTTTTAACAAAGCATTTCTTTTCTTTTTAACATTGGGCTTTATTATGTAAAAACATGATTATTTTCATTCTCATCATCATCGTCATCACACCTTTCCTATGGGAGCTCAGGGCAATAAACATAGGGTCTCCCCTCATTTTTTTAAAGAACTTTAAGTTTTTAAAAGTAAAAGGATAAAAATTAACAAGAACTAATAATCAAGAAGAAAGCAGAAAGCTAGAAAGCAAGCAAGAAAGAAAGAAAAACAAAAGTGATGGAAAATAAAGAAGAAAAAGAGGAAAAAAGAAATACAAAAAGAATAAGTTCCAACTTCTTGTATAGCAGATATAAATGAATCATATAATAGCCTGTTACTCTAAAACTACATCTTAAAGGGTCTCCCCTTATTCTGTCCTGACCTGTACAGTACCAACCTGTAACACAGATTATGCTAAGAGAATTATTAGCCCAAAGAGCACAGAGTGAACTTAATGGTTAAATGGGGACTTGAATCTGGTTCTCAATTGCAATATAGCTTTCACTTTAACTTAAGGTTTTCTGTTCAGGTATAGTGAAGCCATCATTTTTTATGGCTTCACTTTGCTTACATAACCTCACCTTACTATTGAAAGAAGTTTGCCCACCATGTTAATTAAAATCTCTATTGACTTTTGAAATGTGTATGTCTGGTCTTTCATTCTCAGGTGAATCTTATTGAACTGAAAGTTTTCCCTAATCCGCCAGTTGCGGTGACCAATGTCACAGCTGCAGTCATGGTCCTTTTGGCAAATAAAGGAAAAGTACCAGAAGATCGAACTTGGAAAGCTGCTAAACTTACCATGAAAAAGGTATTTGCAACTTTGGCATTTACTAAAACGTGCTGTGATCTTTTCAGACTTTTTCTGGGCATGGAATCTGTTCATGGAAAAAAAAAAAATCCCAGAATCTCCAATTAAGAGCGATGAGGCTTCTGAATGGCAGCTTACAAGCCTTGTCCTTTTCCCTCTAGCTTATAAAAATGGCTGTCGACATCCTAAACAGCAGTTTTGATGTGTGAATGGATAGCTAAATGTGTTTTGAGTTTTCCAGCCCACCATCACCTTAGTCCCTTGGGGGAAAGGTTTTTTTTTTTCCTTAGTCTCAGGGGACTCCGTGCAACACCCAGTCTGAAAACCCCTGACCTAATTATTTGACATTATTTTTAAATACTTTAAAGTACTTAATACTTTAAATGATATCCTATATATCATTTCTTACTTAAATATTCTGTGATCCCAAGTCATCTTTTATAGCAGGCCTGTAGAACTTAAAGATGGGAAAGGGCCATACTGATCAATTAAAAATTATCACAGGCTGCAGCAGAATCGCTAGCACACCGCTCAGCTGTGGGAAGCTGGTGAGATGCCAGCACCACTGCAGCCAGCTGCAGCAGTGAATCTTGGAGGTGCTTAGCAACATGTCTTTTGGGGCAGCACATTTATTTCCTCTTTTAAAAATGCAGAAGGCTTGGACACATGTTGTGCAGGGGTGTTCTGTAGGTGTCTTCAGACAGTACAGTGGTACCTCGGGTTACGAACTTAATCCGTTCCGTGACTCTGATCGCATCTTGAGTTGGTCGCAACCCAAGGTAAATTTCCCCATAAGGTTCAATGTAAATATGGTTAAACAGTTCTGAAACATATGCATTTTATTTTTGAACCACAAAAACATGAAAAAAAGTACAGTACAGCACAGTATGAAGAGGGAGAATGGGGTGG